GAAAGAGATATAAATCAACAATAATTGTTGACTCTGAATAGTGCAAAAAAAGTCCCTAGAGTGCAATAGAGTAGAAGCTGGCAAACTGTGGCCAGTACTGGTTTTGTAAATAAAGTTTTATTAGGACAGAGCCACACCCATTCATTTACGTTTGGTCTGTGACTGCTTTTATTTTACACCAGCAGAGTTGAACAGTTGCAACAGAAATGGTATGACCCTCAAAACCTAAAATATTTACTATCTGGCCATTTACAGAAAAAGTTTGCTGACTCCTGCTGCAAAGAATGGGTTTTACATGCCACAGTCAGGGAGTGTTCAGAGACTAGATGGACAAAGTAATCCTCAGGTTTTGATGAATCTGGAAGAGAGCCTTCAATCCTGGTTCAATGACAATTTGCTGGGCCACTTATGAACGGATGAGTCAGGGAAGCAGTGGTTAAACCTTTGAGCTCAGGAATTAATTAGGTCTGGGTTTAAATATGTTATGTTATCCACTGTTTGATCTCTAACAAATTACTTAATCTCAGTCCCTCAATTCTCTCATCTGTTCGATGGGGATATTATTATCTATATCGTAGAGTAAGTATGAGGATTAAATGAGATAATTTAGCACTTAACTCAGTGCCTGGCATGTAGTAAATGCTCAGTAGGTGTCTCCTAAAAGCAGCTGGTTCTCCACCCACTTCAGCCTACCGAGGAACATTTAGGTGGTAGTATAGATGGCAATTATGGACGGCATGCATATAATGGGGACAAATTTAGGGAGTCTCTGTTGAGAATAGGCTGGTGGTGATATGCCGCCTGAACAGGCACCGACAGGGTATTCTGACTGGGAGGAGAATTTCAAGGTCCAAGAAAACATCTGCCAATAGTTCCCCAAGGGCTGAACCTAATGGAAAGGATGTTGATATAGGTCAACTCCCTCTGCTTGGCCTTAGGGCTGGACTTCAGTGTCTGCTGCCATCATAGATGCTTAGTAAATGCCTGTTTAATGCCTATTCTAAAGAAAAGCTAAGATATAGAAGCAAATGGAATTTATTTGTTTTGAGTTTAGGATGACACAAAGGGGAAACTCCACATGTGTTTAAAACTTTATTCACTCAATAATTTATTTATACATTTGATGAAAAAATTTTGAATACTATGTGTTACACCAGGCATTGTGGAGGTCACATGGTATCCTTGCCTTCAAGGAGCCCACAGTCTAGCAGGGAGACCACAAGAAAACAAATTCAATGTTGGGTGATAGAATAGAATAATATTATATTATAAAATGCTTTCTTTTCTGGAAAAGATAATATATGTGATCTATTCCTTTTTTAAAGGGTTTTTTCATCTTATGTTTCGGAATGTTCTTGGATACTAAGGTATGTGTATTAATTTCTTTATCTCCTAACCCAGGAATCTAACCCTTCCCCACCAGTTCTGAGGCCCTTATTCATATATAAGAGGTTAGATTATGGGTACTTTTATAATAAAATTCTATAATTTTACAAAAGGTGGGCTCAGTCAGGAGACCAAGAAACTAAACTCTCACTGCCTATAATAAGCTATATAGAACTAATCAAAACATTAGAGAAAAATAGAAAAATTGTTTTTACTTTTTCTACCTTAAATTATGATTTGACAATAATTTAAGAGCAAAAGTAGTTTTCTTAGGGGTGAATTCCTTTTTGCTCTTTAATTTATTTATTTACTTAGAATATGCTAAAAGACATATCTACTTCTATATTTCTAGTTTTATACAGTAAATGTTAAATAACCTCTGACATTAAATTAAATTCCTAAAATGGATGACCAATGTAAGTAAAAGATAATAGAAAAAAATTTTAAATAAATTCATTTTATTATTTTTCCCAAGCATTAAGCAATTCTGTTGAGAGAGGTAAAGACAGTAAGCTAATAGATGTAGAGTTTATTTTAATAAGAACATAAGACTATTTTATAATTAGCACAATTATTGCACATGCACAAAACTCCTGATTGCAAAGAAGCAATTTGCTGCTCTCGATTGGCCTAAATAATTCTTTCATTTGTACAATTCACATGGTTAGCAAATTCTTCACTTCAAAGATAAACTTCAATTTAGCAATTATTGTCAATTACTAATGTCTAGAATCTGAATTATTATGGCTTCTGGTACCCTTGTTTTTGTTTAATTCTAGATTTGCTTATCGGTAAAGAAAACAAAAGAGATAAAACAAAATAAATCTTTTCATTAGATACCCATGCATATAGTCTATTAAGTGCTTCCAGGAAATACTACAGTTAAATAACAGTTTCAGTATGCAGTTTTGTTCTTGATTTGCTTATGTGTGATTGTATATGTGTATCTCAATATTTTTTTTGTTGCCCTTACAGCTGCGACAACTGCTGTTCAACAAGTTGTTTCCTTTAAGCTCTTTGAAGCAACAATCAAAGGTAATTATTTTCTTCTGCCATGGATCCAATGCATGGAGTTCCAGTTTTCCTTTTTATTTCCTATACAGCCTCACAGAAAGACCACTTTTGGGTAAACCCCCTGAATTTCTGTCACCATTCCATTTCTAGTATCTGGCATGGTGCCCAGCACATGATCAATATTCATTAAGGAACTGTTGAGTGAGGGAGTTAATGAATGAATTAATGAATGAGAAGGCATGGGAAGCTTCAAGGATGCTCAAGCATCCAGGGCTGTGGGTGCTCTTGTGAGTGAAGACCTTTGAACAATATTGTTTGCTTTAGTCTGACTTGTCTCCCAATATCTAGAGTCAGTAAAGCTTCTTTCTCTACTTGTCTTTTTGGATCTCCTGTAGACCATTATTCCATCACCGGAAAAGTAAAAATTGAGGTCTTGGCTAACTTCTAACATACAAAATGCTCTCTGAATTTTCTCTCTTAAGCTGGTATAACTGCAGCTTTAGCTTTTAAGTCTATAAGCTGACAAGTTTGTCTGGAAACAGAAGATTTCTTTTTCATTCTTTGCCACAAAAGTGCAATCCATTTAAGGAGAGTATAGTTAGAAACAAAAGTACTTGCACCCATATTTTGTATCTTTGATGTTAATTTAGCCTTTTGTCTTTTAGCAAAACACTGAGGGCTTTTCAGAAAGTGTTCTAAAGCAGAGATTTCTGTGTTTGATAAAAGTCGACTGACTTGAGTGCATGAAAACCAGCATGGATGTTAAGAGGTTTTTTACAAGGGACAATAATACCTTCTGAAATGAAAAACAGTGAGGAAATTAAACACTGACATTAAAAAATTATCCTGAGTCTGCATTTCCCAGTAGAGGGCTATGAATTGGGGGAGCAATGGCTTATATGTCTGCAGACCCATCCT